CTGAAAGTGAAAATAGTTACTACATCTCGGGGTCCTCAATGTACATACGTTTGCTTAAGTACTGAGTGTACAATTCTTGCAGAAGCTACTAACTTCTCCCCAATATTCTTTCTCCCCTCCTCCCTTTGACTAACAGGACTTAGTTGGGAACACAGCTACTCCTATTTCAAGTACATTTCCCTTTTTCCTTTGCAGTAAATGTGACAACAGAGAGTAATTTCTAGTCCCTAGGACAAGAAAAGAGTGATGTATGCAGCTTTTAGATCATGTCCTTAAAAAAAAAGAAACTAGTTTTTCTTCACTTTCTTTGTATTTGAGGTGCAAGGGCTGGAATGAGAGAATGGTGCTGTTACCCTAACCTCAAAAACACACAAAACAGAACATCCTAAGAAATGGGGCAGACTGGGACCCTTATGGAGTAAATTCATGGAATGTTTACTGTCATGAGTGAGCAATAAATATGCATCTATTATTATTGTTGCTGTTCCTTATGTGTCTGGGGCTCTTTGTTTAAGCAGCGTAGTCTCTCTACATGCAGCAACCAGGAAAAAAATTCTGTACTAAACCCCAAAGTCCTGAAGTTAATGAGAAGGGACAAGCATAAAGGTTTACAGTTGGAGAGCAAAAGTAGGCCCTTCCCCATTTTCTTGGAAAGAATCCTGAAGTAACAATTGTATCTTAAAAATTCAGCCCAGAGTTAGTCTGTCAACAGATCAACTCCTTGTTTCTTCAATTTTAAGACCACTCACCGTTTCTCTGTGGCAATTTCATGAGCAAAGATTATCACCCAGGATCACTTTTAATGTTGATTTTGCCTATTTAACTTGAGAAATTACAGATGACTAATGCTTTTCTTGGAGATTCAATTTATGTGAAGATGCTGTGTTGTTAGGGGGCCAGGAAAGTATATGTAGTAGAACTGAAGCTCTTGACAATTTTCCCAGTTGTCTGAGTAAAAACACTGGTGTGAGTGTCAGCTCTTTAGCCCCTTAGAAAGTGTGCTGTGGGAGGGTAGGTACTCAATCCTAGACAGAGTCTACACAGGAGGATAGAGCAAAGCCAGATAATCTAGATTTTTCTCACAAGCACTGTGTGTCCTTACCTGACACTGTAGTTGTAAGCAGAAGCCTGACATGAATTACCTGCTGGAAGGGCCCAAAAGGAAAGCTTTGAGTTCAAGACACCAACTGCCCACAGAAATGCCATGACCTGCAGCCATTGCCAGAAGTTCTCCCACCTTCCCCAAGGACCCACATGCCCGTCAGATGTACCTATCACAATCATCTGATACTGAGATACTTGACTTCTGGAAGAAATATCTTCAGCAAAAAAGGAATAAGTTGGCACAGGTAGAAATTAAAATCTTACAGAGGCAAACAGCTATGGCATTTCACACACTGCTCAGAAAGAGCACAAACAACAGTAAGGTACGGGGCAAAAAAAATGCAAGGGGAAGAGGAAAGGGAAATGAAAAAAGAGCCACAACAAGGAAAATGTTATGCTCTTGGAAATGAAACTTGATGAAGCTGGGACTCCCCCCTCAGTGTGCGAGGGCCTGACTCAGCACATGTTGATAAAGACAATTTACTAAAGACAATTTACTCAGTCCTAGAGGAGGATGAAGTTTCCCTCTAGTCATCCTTACTGACGTGACACCATTGAGTGCTTTTATTTTTCTTTTCCCTTAGCTCTTGGGGGTTCCCAACCCCTCCAATAAGCTGGCCTGGATTTGTTTCTCCCCCACCAAAGGGCAAGTGCCCAAGACCGTTTTCATCATATGGATGAATTCTGTAATTTAAAGAAGATAAGTGACAGTGGGAGGGGCATTTAATACAGATTTTAGAGACTATATCTGAAACTTGTTGAGTATTTTTCCAACATAAGATTTTTGTTCAGGATAGTGCCACAGCAATAATACTGCCTAGAGTCATATCGTTGTTCCATTTGTATTATCCTTCACTATTCTTTCACAGGCAAGTAACTTTTAAATCCTGTCATTTAGGATAACTTCTAAATAGTTAAGGACTATTATATAAACTGAAAACTGATTCAGAGAATTACTTGTGCTCTTGAAACAGCTTGTCTCCCTAGGGTGCTGAAGGAGATGGTGCATTGGTATTTACCCCCACAAAATTTATACTTTCTATAAAAATGGAAATGCAATTTTAGTTCATAAGGGATGCATCCAGATAGTAGAGATTAATATTAAGTGTAGCCTGAATTTGCCTAGATGATATTCATTCTTATTGGTTGGGGAAAAAAGAGAAAACATGGAGGTTCTCGGATAAACTCTGACCAAATAAACATCAAACCCAGAATGGAAGCCACTCCTAATTCTATCGCTGCAGGATTCTGAATATAGCTAAAAGCTCAGTTCTCAGCTGGTTCCACCAGCTCCATGGAAAGGCACATAATTTATTGCAGTGTAAAATAAAAGAAAACCTCCTTTCTGGACTTTGTCTACTTGACAAATGGTCTGAACACTCCAATACAAAGAAGAGAGGGAAGACGTGACCAGTGCTATTGGGCTTCCTAGGTCACTGCTCTCCTTATATAGGAGGCAGAAAAAAAAAGCCTTTCGTCTTATGACTCACCACTTCATAGGTACCTATGAGCGACAGGAAGATGACATATAAAAGAGGGAAGAAGAAAGGCAGAGCTGAAAGGCGGTAATGAGAAACAAGAAGATGTCGCCCCAATCAAGTGGTCTAGTCAAGGAACCAGCTTCGCCCACAGTCCAATGCCTGGACTCAGACTTCACAGTCAGAGCACAGGGCCAAGGGTCTTTCCTCATCTGCTTGTATCAGTGTTCTGCTTCTGTGGTAGATAGTAAAGACAATCACAGTGTAAATGTCTCTCATTTGGGGCCAAATGGACAAAGTGGTTCTTTCTCAGTTCCCAAAGGACCAACAAGACCTGAGTGAAGACAGTGGTGAAGGTATCATCTTCCGCCATAATCTCTAGAAGGACTGGTGAGGTTTCTCTTTAAACTCCCCACATTTTATCTGGTTTTCTCTCAGGTCCTTCGGCATCTCTCCTGCCCCACCCAAAGAGAGTAAATACACCAGTGGAAATCCCCTGAGCCAACTAGCACTTGCTGTACCAAAATATTGTGTCTTGGCTTTGTTCTTTTTTACCTCTTCACAACTAAAGGAAAGAGATACAATCAAAATGATAGTCCACTTAAATGATAAACAAGAGAATTTAAAGAGACATGACCCAATTATTCCCCGATGGAGTAAAGATTGAGCAATGTAGGACATCTGTGTTGGTATTGATATAAATGTTTGGTTTCTCCTTGAACGGTTCTTTAGTTTATGGGAATTTGTAGTGACAGCTTTCTTGAAAGGACATTTAAATCAATAGATAAAACATACCGATTTTTGTGAATCAGGTTTAGGATTTCCTAACTAAGCTTTCAAAGCAAGATTAGAAGTGAAAACACAAATGATTATCTGATGCACAAAATTGTCACCGTTGGATTTGGAAGGTGGAGGAGCTAGAATTTGTCCCACTCAGATGGCTTCTGGCTCTGGAGTCCAGAGCATGAGTGTGGCATTTTAACTGGACATCCAACTCTATGACTAGATTTGCCTCAACACTGCAAGGGGACTTCCCAAGACTAGTACACCACCTCTTTTCTCAGTTTGTAAGCTTGGTACAGTGACTATTAGAAGGAGACAAGTGAACCCCACACATCTTTGAAAGACTATGTTTTACACACTGGGAAATGTTCATCACTGAGAATTTTGCCATTTGTATAGCAGACCCAGAGATACAATTCTACCCAATAATAGTGACCCAAATAGTAGTTCATCACTCACGGCCCACTCAGTATCTCATCACATTGTGATTGCAGTCTTGTGGCTTTTTTCCAAAAGAGCCACCATGAATTAGAGAGTAGTGTTTTGTGGCCTGAATCTAGGTTATACAACTCATAGCAGGATGTCCTTCAGGGAACATCGTCTGACTGCTGTCATTCAGGCCTTCCAACACTGATAAAGTCTCAATGAAAAAATCCAACAATTGCCAAGAAGTCAGTTGTACTTGACAAACACTATGACTTAACCATAAGGCCTTATTGAAGACAATTATGATTGACAGATACATCTCAGGTCTGCTGCTGCCTGTGAAGTTTATGTGTAACATGTGTTCCTGAAATATGCACAGATTTCCAAGACAAATCCTATTTTAAACAGAGTGAGGAAGCAAATACTTTAGCTATTAAACATGATGTCAGCAGACATTTTTCTAAAAAAAGATTTTACACTGAGTGCATAAAGATTTTACATTTAGTGTATCAGACAGTTTCTATCATAGTCACTCAAATCTGATGGTAAAACACACAAGCATTTTGTTTCAATAAAGCTTTATTTACAAAAACAGGTGGCGGGCCACAATTAACCCCTAAACCACAGGGGCTTTGAGTGCTTCCTGTGCCTACTATGTTGAGTAAGAAAGTACTCAGGATACAGAGAACAAATCCCTGACGTTGTGAAGCTCTCCGCTCTCTAGTGTGTGTGTTCAGAGATTGGATGTGAAATATTTAAAATAAGTCTGCAAAAAATTACATCAGAAAGTGCAGAAGTTTTCCTCTAAAGCAAAACTCACCACAACCAGTTGATTACCTTGTAAGTTCAGATTTTTGTCTTGTGAGTCTTTTGAAGTAGACTCTATTCACACTCTAAGCTGTGCTGACTTGATCCACAACACAACAGAAATACTGGCAGAGGTGCCACCGTGTCAAATGCTCTATCCCTTTATTTCCTCCACCTCTGCTTAGAGCTGCAGTACTTTTACTCAGACTTCCTGTTTCTGGCATTTGCCTTCTTCTTTGCTGTGTTTATACTTCCCCCTGTCTGTGGTTAGATAAGTATAAAGACTTTAAACTGTAGACTCAAGGCTGCCTCATACTCCCTCTTGCTTTGTCTTTTTCTCTCTCCATTCATTCTACACACAGACTCATGCCTGCTCTTGCCTCCCTCTCTTTCTCTCTCAGAATGACAATTCCAGGTATTGCCTTTGGTATGGCTTTCTATTTACTTCAAGCCGTTTCTGGAGAAAGTGGATATGCACAGAACGGTGAGTCATTTCTAACTTTCCTTTAGGATTTCTGATAACCTCTAGCATTTGCTCCAGATTGCTCAGATCCCAGCAGACCTGAGCTTGGCTCTGGGTTGGAATGGAGTTTCAGGACTTACCAGGTTTTTGGTCATTTTTGTGTGTTCTGAACCAAAGGGGTTTGAACATTCTGCAATGTACAAAATCCCCTGGTTCTTAGAACATACAAAGTGGGGGCCTGGAACAATAGCCTGGGTGGTTTAGAAAAGCCTCAGAACTGTCAAAAAGGAATGCATCTGCCTCTCCAGAAGTGGATCTTAATATTGGTCAATGTCTGCACTCTTCTATAATCTTCTCTAGAGAATATGCAAGGTAATTTACCTTGTCAGGAAATCAAGCTAGGTTCTTTTTTGTTTAGTTTTCTATGAGGGTCTAAAAGCATGCAAATTTCTTTGATAAAATAATGTTCAACTTGACCCTTTTCTCTGCCACTGATCATGCTAAATCCCCAGCAAAGTGGAAATTCAATGAAATTTGAAAATTTCTTCAAAATACTTTAGTTTTGATAGATACATGTGGCTTTCTTAATGAACAGCTGAATGGAGCAGCTAAGTAAGAGCTAAGATTTAAGCCTCATTGAAAGATACTTGCTTCCTTATCAACAAACTTACCATCATATAATAATTCTCCATAGGGTCCTTAACATTCTTAGTACTAGATGCAGACACCACTACTTAGTAAATCCACTGTAATTCCAATAAAACCACAGACAAAGATGAAGAAGCGGCAGCAAAAGTGACCTTGGAATTCGGAGCCACCAGTCTTCCTGCTAATTAAACGTTTTTATTTTAATAGTTGAAAAGTACTTGCTTGTCAAAGATTTCAAACCAAACAATCTAAACTAATGACTCAGTTTAGATATTTTAAGTCATGCAATTACTAAGGATGGAAATCCCTAGAATATTTCCATTAAGGGAATTGTCAGATGGTTGATATTTTTCAGTGGGACTATGTATGAATCACTTCATGGGGTGTATTTCTTGTTTCAAGGCAAACATTGCCTTGTATTTATTTGCACAGATAGATGGGAACCAAAAAACACAATCGTACTCTTTGGAGTATAATTTGTTCCCTCCATTTCTTTCTTTCTTTTCATTTTTGAATGAAATACCAATTCTAATTGAAAGCTGAGTTTTCACTTCAATTCTTCAAATTCAGAAACACTTTTAGGAGATCTGTAGTCATTAGTTCCTCTGGTTATATGGAAATAACTTCCCAGTGTGAGGATAAGGAATTGATAAAATAATCAGTGGCTGTTTTGTTAAAAGTTATTATTCTCTTAACCACAAAGCTGATGAAGAGAAGAAGGGGATATTTAACAAACCGCATATATATATATATATATATAT